GGCATGTGATCACATTGCCCCCATTGCTAAATGCTCTCTCAGAAGGCAAACTTGTGGCAGAGATGCATAAGTATTTCTTTGTCAGACAACTCAATTGTGGGAAGTTGGATGCGTGAACTCGCCACCACTCCAAAGGATCAGCCTCACTATCTGCTGCCATCATCAGAGTGTAGCTGTCCAGCTCTTGCTCGATGACCTGTCTCTGGGTTCTTAAGGCAGGTGCACTACTAGTTTTCTTAAAGAAGCTCCCAAGGCTCTTCTCGGACTTCTTTGCTGATTGTGGCACAGTGGCAGCTTCTTTCTCTCTCTCACTCTGGTCCTCTTCAAAAGAGAAGTCTCCCACAGCTGTGTTCCCTACCAGGAGGGCGTCTGTCTCGGAGGCAGCTCTCACCTTCACCTCCACCAGCTTCTCAGTGGTCATGTAGGTGGTCTTGAACCTTGGGTCCAGAAAGGTAGCCATGGTGAGCAGCTCATCTGTTTCAGGGTTGGTGTATTTGTCATTCAGGTAATTGAGGACCCTCATCTTAATCTCTCCGGTCAGTTTGGCTTCGCCCTCATTTGAATTCAGAACCTCCATGTTGAACAAACGGCTTCAGATAGGACACACTCACATATGTCTCTCCTGACAGGGCATCTGTGAAATCCTGGAGGGGCTTAAGTGCTGCCGTGATAGATTCAAAGACCTCAATGTCTTCCCAGGAGGGTGCAAGGTGCTGTGTTTTTTGTCTGCTGCCAGGACTTGTGTGATGGTCTTTTCCTGCTCCAGGACTTTCCATCATCTGCAGTCGAGATCCCCACCTTGTTGGGGATTCCGTGATGAGCTTGTGGAGGGGCAGGCTCAGTTTATCCTGTGCACTTGTCAGGGCCTTCTGCTTCTTCCAACTATAGGAAAATGTGCTGACCACTTTCTTGCACACTCCTGTGGCCCGGGAAACCCGAGGTTCGTTTTGGACACTCCTCTCTGCAAAATAAAAAGGTGAAAAATAACTACATATGAATCACAATTATTCAATAGAAATAACATAGCATCTGCTGTAATTACAACAATTTACAGCATGGACACTGGACATGATTACAAATGAAATCCATCTATAGATTTACAACTGTTGTGATTAAGAGAGCTATGTTGCTTTAGAAAACGGGATCATTTATTGAGTAGGCTATTTATTATTGAAAGAGAGAGGTTAGATGAATATATTGAAACCATTGGCTAATGTATCAATTATAAATAAAAGCAATGTAATCCATGTAATGTTTGGATATTGCACACATTTACAAATTACAGATATTCTAGATTTGCATAGCTGTATATATCCGGCTTAACGTATAAGTAGGACCAGGCAGTGTAGTCAGCTCTAACTTTAAACAGAGGAGATAAGGAATACAATAGTTACTCTGCATTTTATGTTGTTGTTTTTAAGTGACGTTATTTTTCTGTGTTTTGGACGTTGAAACTTACCAATAGCAATGTGTAGCCTGTGTCTGAAACACCCTAGTCTTGTCCATTTGTTCAGTTCCAATGCTTTGTCGGTAGTCATACATACTTGACGCGACTCTTTCAACCCCCAGGATGAAAGTGCCTCCCTCAGCCCAGCTGCAATTATTTCTCCGGTGTGGTCGTCTGGGAAATAAGAGGCCTGAAGGCATTTGCTTTGCAGCTTCCAGTTGTCGTCAATGTAATGAATCGTAAGGATAATGTATGGCTCTGTGGTCCCGCTTGACGTCGGCAGTGGTAGAGAAGAATGCAGCGTTACGGATTTCGTTGGCAAATCTGTCCCGACATTCTGTGTAGAGTTCTGGCAGACATGTTTTGCTGAAGTATTAACGGCTCCGGATCTTGTATCTAGAGTTCGAATCAACTTTCTGAAACCGTCTTTCTCCACAGTTTGAATTAGTTCCATGTCTTTCGCTATGTGATACGTAATTGCACTCGTTATCTCATTCCACTTCTTGCTCTTCTTGTCAGTTCCAAACGACAGAGGATGCCCCCTTTTTTCGAACCAATTCTTCGTCGTCCTGCAAATCAACCTCAATAGCGTTATTTTCCTCACTCTTCAGTCATCCTCAATGCTTGATTTTCTGACACATTCTTCTTCTTCTTCTTCAGTGGGGTTTATCGGCAGTTGGCATCCAACGTTATGGTGCATTACCGCCACCTACCGTACTGGAGTGTGGGCCAGCGACAGGGATAAACTAAATCTTACCTGCCAACCCCGTTTCTCTTAAAAAAGATAACAAAATATTTGAGACTATATCTAATGACGTTCTACTCAATATACTCTTTAAACTAATTTCCGGTATCCCCTTCTCCCTCATACTAAATCTCATCCTCTCTCTTTCCCTCTGATACTGCCCACACTGTAGCAATACATGCTCCACAGTCTCTGTTTCCTGACAATAATCACACTTTCCTGATGGATGCTTTCCTATCACGTTTAATGTCTTATTCAACTGGCTGTGTCCCACCCTTAATCTTGTAAAAATAGCCTCCTCTCTTCTGTCCCTTCCTGCCATTCTCCCCTCCCCGACTTTCCTCTGTACTTGAAATAAATGCCTTCCCTTATTATTTCCATTACACTGCTCCTGCCATCTCTGCACCATCACTGTATATTTCAGTCTTTTTGCCTCTGCCTTGCTCATTGAAACTTCAACATCAACATCCCCACTACTAAGTGCTTGTTTAGCCTGTTCATCTACTGCCTCGTTCCCCCCCACCCCCACATGAGCTGGAACCCAAGTAAATCTTATCTGAATACCCATCTGTTTAATCCTGCAATTGGTTTGTATCACCTCATAAAGCAGGTCTTGTCTGCTACGTGAGCTAAATGACTGGAGACTCATTAACACTGCACATGAATCAGAGCAAATAACATGTTCTGACACCTTTGCTAACGAAAGGAGTTTACTTCACTAAATGTTAGCTTACTCTGCAGTTGCACATGCTTGTTTGTTGACTTTGATTGGCAGGCAGATCGCGTGTAACGTCCATGCTTCTAGTTTTTTCTTTGCTAAAAAAGGCTATGTTTCTAGTAAAATAAACAATTTGAACTAGCCCACTAGGCTGTATCACTCGACATACATTTTGAACGAAACAAAAACGCCTTATTTCATACATTAATTTATCATGATATGCACGATATGGCAAAATCATGTCATATCATGGCACAGCGTCATACCGGTATTCACATTCATACTGGTATACCGCCCACCCCTACCCTGTAGGAGACAGTGCACGTCTCATAGTAAGAAACAGTACGTTACACATCTTATACTCAAACCCTGGAGAGACAGACAGAACACACCTTATAATAGGAGACATTTACACGTCAGTGTTGGAGACAGTAGTCAAATAGAGGCAGACAGTTACATGTCTTATAGTCAAACCTTGTATGTGGTAGTTAACAGTTACACGTCTTGTAGTCGAACCCTGGAGAGAGACAGTACACGCCTTTTCGGTCAAACCATGTAGTATAGGTCAAACCATGTTCTAAATCAAACCATGTAGTATATGGAGACAGTGGTCAAATAGAGACAGACAGTGAAACAGTTTCCTTTAATAGTCAAACCTCAGAGGAAACAGTTAACGTTACACGTCTTATTGTCCAACCCTGGAAGACAGAGCAGCCTTACATTACTGTCATTTTCACTTACGCATTCACCTCATGATGTAGGCTATCAGCAGAAACCAATTTACTGTATTTTCAAATTAAATTGTGAACCGATGTTGTCTTGCAACGATGTACCATTGCTAAATGCATAAACAGTCTGGTACCCTGGCTGAGGCTACATCTGCTCTGTGAGTAACTGTACCTCCTTAACGGTGTTCCTGACCATCTCCACGAGATCCACTACAGCCTTGGAGGTGACCTCTCCTCACAGCATAATAATGTAAATGTAAATGTAAATAATCAAACCCCTCTTCATAACAGTTTATAGTGCACAAATAGTTCCGCTGGGATTCATCTTCAGTTGGTCGGTTAAACAAGTGCTACAATCAAAAGCTTGAGTTGAATTTGAGGTTAGAACGGAAACAGTTGCCAAACATACTATCGATTAATGATTATTACATTCAAACATCTACAGTAGGCGACCGTTTCAAGTTCACTGCATAGCCCCGACTACTGGCCATTATATGATGTGCATGCATCCAGCTGTTGATCAACTTGATGAAGATTGTGTCTTCGAATCTTGAGTAAAATGTCTCGAGACATTCTAACGACCCCTGGAAACGGAACGGTCTAGCCATTTTGCTAGCTAACTGTAGGTTACCATTTCTGTTTTAAACTAGCTATATTTTAAAAATAGGTTTTTGAATCCAACATAGGCCTAACTAGATGTTATTCAATAAATTGTTACAACGTAACAGTGACAAGCACACAGGCTACAAGGTAGGGTCATCAGATGGACAAAGATAACCGTAGCAACAAAGTGAAATATGACGTATGCAAAATATATGAGTTTAGCATATCAACTTTATCATCTCATCAATTCATTGGTGAGTAACCAAGCAATAATTCCTCTCGACAAATGACAGATTTACCTACAAGAAGAACACTGCAGCACAGATTAGTCTTTTGACTTTTTGTAACCAACCAAAGACCATGCCAATAGTGTACTGCTGTGTAGCAAGAAGCAACATCATCCTTGCTGATCTTGCTCTCAGAGGTGGAAGGTTTCAGGTAGGCTAGTGTGTGTGTGTCAGTGTGTGTGTCAGCGTGTGTGTGTCAGTGTGTGTCAGTATGTGTGTGTGTGTAAGAGAGCGAGAGAGGGGAGGGGAGGGGAGGGGAGGGGGGGGGGGGGGGGGGGGGGGGGGTTATTCCTAACACAACTGTAGATGCATTGTTGTAGGAGGCAGCATTGAGTTTTCTGAGACCTTTTCCGTTTGGAGCTCTGTATCGAAGGACCATACCATTGGATGGGTGAGATAACTATTACTACACTACATAATTGCAAGTGTGATTCCATGTGCTGGCCATAATGTGTTTGTTTTAACAATCAGGTTCAGATACCACATCCTGTCAGAGGATGGAATGTCCTATGTCTGTGTCACAGAGCTCAGCTATGAGTCCAGGAGGGCCCATGAATTCCTTAACCAGGTCAATTTACATGTACAATCTTATACTGTACTGGCTTACATAACGAGTTACAATGACAGATTCCACCACAAGACATGGGGTACTGGTACTGTTTAATGGCCAAAGAAAGGGGAACATTTCATGTGAAATTGTTTATTTTCTTCAAGTTATACATTCTTTACAGAAGTTATTAAGTTATACAATGAATTCTAAACAATCCTGTGATACCTAAACAGTAACACTTAAGCATGTCAAAACAATTAGATTCAATCTGTCTCTTTAAAATAACAAGAGCGGAGCTTATTTCCATAAATAAAGTGTATGCTCTGCTCTTCCTGGTACTAGCCTCATGTTTTGAACAGAAAGCTCTGAACAACATGACCAGCCATGGAAATCAGGTTTAGCTTATGTAGCAAGCGACTTCACTTTTTATTGCCTTCCAGATCTGCAGTTTCTTTGCTAACAGCCCCCTGATAAAGAAAGCGGCCTTTGCCCAGCCATATGAATTCAGCTCTGACCTGCATCAGGTGCTTGGACAGCTGATGGTATGTCCTAAAGACACATATAATTAGAATTAGTAGAATGAGAATTCCTAATCAGAACAACATTACATCAATTCTTATCATCACTTTATCTCTCAGTCAGATTTCCTGTTTCTATCTGAGCTGCTCTACATGCAATATTGGGGTGTGCTATAGAAATATATAACGTTATGAAGATCTTCATGGGGTGGGTTTAAGAGCAATGTATTTTCTACTAATCCTAGTTCTATGTAAAGGGAAGAGTGACTAATGCTGTGTCAATGGTAGAGCTACAGTGCAGCAGCAGTAGTTAATGTGTAACTACAGGGAGGGGCGGCGCTGTGTGGAACCTGTGTCTCAACCTACAGCTGCTTGAAGCAGACTTTACCGGTCTCTACTTTATTTACCAAGCTTGTAGTCAGTCTGGATAATATGTCTTTGTGAAATATTTACCCTCTGAAGTGGTTGTGGATATATATTAATTTTGTAATACTATTCTGACATGGTAAGTATTTTTACATTTGTCAAGTGGCGGTTGTGAGGCAGTAATATGCCTTGAGGTCACACTAATGATCTGAAATGTTAGCACTATGGGGAGCAGAGCAATAGTAGTTAAAGACTCAGAGACTAGGAACAACAGACTGTGAATACAATTATTTACATGTGACTTGCATGTGTAAGTAAATGTCTGAGTCCAGTGATCTCTTAACATTGCAATAACCTTTTGGACTAAACAAATCGGTGACCTAGCTGTGAGGAGGACTTTCTTGTCAGGAGAGTGTCAATAAAGGAATGGCTGAGGTTGAGCGATAAAGCAACATTTGCTTGGCCTGCTTTCAGATACAGTATGTTCATATGATATGTCCTGGAATGTCATGGAATTGCATTCTGCCCCATCATGTATTGGCTCCTATATTTCACACATTTTGTTTAAGTTAATTGATATTGATGAGTCCTCTTAACATTGCTACTGTTATCATTGCTAAGTCAGATGCAAATTTCCACACTGTGAACAAATACAGGTTTTCCATTCCCTCCTGTCTGTGTGATGATCTGTGGTGAAATGGGTCATATTTTTTTATCATACCGTAATGATATGTGTCATGTTATTCTGAAGACAGAATGTATACACAGTATGCCATACCTAATATGTTGATGTTATTCAGAGAAGATTCTCTCCCCTTCCTCTTCCTCTCTGTAGGCTGACTACAGTTCTCAACAGCCAGCCTCCTCTAAGCTGGACTCTGTGCAGGGCCAAGTCAACGAAGTCAAAGTTATACTCAAAGACAACATTGACAAAGTGCTGGAGAGGGGAGAGAGATTAGATGACTTGGTTGACAAGACACATGACCTACAAGCAACCGTAAGTATTATAAAAAAAATACAATTGTGTTTTTACATTTTTTATCCTGGCAAGGTGATAAGGAAGTGGGGTTCCTGTAGTCTAGAGAACAGCTTTAACCAGCCAAGCTGCATTTGGTTTCCTGTCTGTTTCTGCTTTAGCTTGCTTGAAACACAATTATATTCGACTTAACCTTCCATAATTTCCTCCCATTTCCAGGCAGATTCCTTTCAGAGGACATCCACACGGGTAGCTCGGAAGTACTGGTGGAAGAACGCCAAGATGATGATCATCATTGGAGTGATAGTGCTGATCATCCTCATCCTCATCATCCTGTTTGCTACAGGTGTCATCCCCAGTTAAATCATCTCACAGACTCCTACAGTACTACATTATCACTAAGAGGAAAAGGATGAACCACAATTACGAAGTCATATTTTGAATTTGATGAAACTGAGGTTTAATTTGAGTCTTCTCCAAGGTGGATTCAAGGTGGATTGTGTATAGTAACGTGACAAAATAACATTTCACATTATGACTTCTGTAAATAAGCATCCTGGAATTTGTTTGATTGTTTTTGGATTATATGGATCTGTTCATTTGATATTTAATAAGATAAATTTCATAATGTTTGTAGATACATTTATATAAAAAAATACATAATATAGAACATTTCTCACCACTAATGTTACAGTTTAGGGGCCTCATCCCACAGTATAAAGGTGCATTGAATTCCTTAAACTGGATGATTTTCATATTTGTGCTTAATGGTGGCCACCTCTGGCAGCCATAATAGTTCACTACAATAGTTCACTCCATTACCGTGTACAGTTACACTCCACTAGCAATGTTACACTCACTGGCCAGTTTATTAGGTACACCCATCTCGTACCGGGTCTGACCCCACGTTGCCTCCAGAACAGCCTGAATTCTTTGGGAAGTGGATTCTACAAGGTGTCAGAAACGTTTGTTGCTCAATTGGTATCAAGGGACCGAACATGTGCCAGAAAAACATTCCTCACAACAGTACACCACCGCCACCAGCCTGTACCATTGACACCAGTTAGGATGGGTCCATGGACTCATGCTGCTTACACCAAATCCTGACTCTGACATCAGCATGACACAACAGGAACCAGGAATTGTTGGAGCAGACAATGTTTTTCCACTCAATTGTCCAGTGTTGGTGATTGTGTGCCCACTGGAACCCGGTGTGGTGCAATAGCCCATCCGTGACAAGGATCGACAAGTTTTGCGTTCCGAGATTACGTTCTTCACACCACTGTTCTGCGTCATTATTTGTTTGTGGCCAGCCTGTTAGCTTGCACGATTCTTGCCATCTTCCTTTTTCCTCTCTCATCAACAAGCTGTTTTCACCCACAGGACTGCCGCTGACTGGATGTTTTTTATTTGTTGCACCACTCTCAGTAAACCCTAGACACTGAATCCGGATCCGCGCCTGGCACCGACGATCGTACCACACTCAAAGTCGCTTAGGTCACTCGTTTAGCCCATTCTAACGTTCAATCGAACAGTAAACGAATGCCTCGATGAGTGTCTGCCTGCTTTATATAGCAAGCTACGACCACGTATCCATTGTCATGAACGGGTGGTGTACCTAATAAACTGGCCGGTGAGTGCACTGTCCAAGGGTAAAGCATAATGTACCAAACAATTCACACTACTTCCTAATAAAAAATTTAAATCTTTCAAATTCAATTCCAGATAAATGTTTTTTTATTTTTTTCTGATACATTTCTGAATATTCTAGAATCCTGTATACATATAACCATGTCAAATATATATTAACAAAATGTTTACTTGTGATAACTACGATAAAGTATAGAGATTTCTTTAAGGGCCTCATTGTACTCTTGACTGCAATATAAATAATTAGTTTTCTGGCCCTGACCAAACCAATTTTATTTATCCAAGACAAATTTCCCCCTCGGGGCCAATTAAGTATATCCTAATTCAATTTGGGTTACAATAATGGTCATTTAGGACATAACAAAAAGCAACATAGAATATAATAGGGATATCACTGACCATAAGTGACTAATCAACTCTTAAATATAATTCTGTATATGTGTTTCACACAGTGTAAATCAACACAAGATGAATAGGAAACTTTTAAAAGCTTTGCAAGAAGAAACAACGAAATACAAAGCTGAAAATAAATTCAATATACGTAGATCAACTGACTGTCCTGTCTCAATCCATCCATAATACAGGAAATTCGTGACTGAAACCTGTCACCTCGCCTGCCAATGCTCCAATCTTCCATCGCCCCGTAGCCTGAAAAATACCAATAAGTCAAACTGTTAATGATGAAGGTTACTGCACACTAGTAGGGCTACAACTAAATGTCCCATGTCTTTACCATGTCCATTAAGAAAACACAATGAAATAGATAACAATACTTTTTACAATTAAGAATTTAAAAAACAAGTTAGTCCATGTGGTCCTCTGTAGCTCAGCTGGTAGAGCACGGCGCTTGTAACGCCAAGGTAGTGGGTTCGATCCCCGGGACCACCCAAACACAAAAATGTATGCACGCATGACTGTAAGTCGCTTTGGATAAAAGCGTCTGCTAAATGGCATATTATTATTATAAGCTAGAAATCCTGAAGTGTGACATTGTAGAGGTCAAAGCCCAAATTCAAAACCAATAGGTGAAGCCTTCAATTGGTCAAAAAGATACACATAAAAAAAACATTACATGCAAATTACCAGGAAATGTAGAGATATACTATATGTATAAAAGTATGTGGACACCCCTTCAAATTAGTGGATTCGGTTATTTCAGCCACACCCGTTGCTGACAGGTGTATAAATCGAGCACCATGCAATCTCCATAGCCAAACATTGGCAGTAGAATGGCCTTACTGAAGAGCTCAGTGACTTTCAACGTGGTACCGTCATAGGATGCCACCTTTCCAACAAGTCAATTTGTCAAATTTCGACCCTGCTAGAGCTGCCCCGGTCAACTGTAAGTGCTGTTATTGTGAAGTGGAAACGTTTAGGAGCAACAATGGCTCAGCCGCGAAGTGGTAGGCCACACAAGCTCACAGAACAGGACCACCGAGTGCTGAAGCGCGTAGTGCGCAAAAATCATCTGTCCTTGGTTGCAACACTCACTACAGAGTTCCAAACTGCCTCTGGAAGCAACGTCAGCACAATAACTGTTTGTCAGGAGCTTCATGAAATGGGTTTCCATGGCCGAGAAGGCGCACACAAGCCTAAGATCACCATGCGCAATGCCAAGCGTCGGCTGGAGTGGTGGAAAGCTGAACGCTATTGGAATCTGGAGCAGTGGATACGCGTTCTCTGGAGTGATGAATCACGCTTCACCATCTGGCAGACTGACGGACGAATCTGGGTTTGGCAGATGCCAGGAGAACGCTACCTGCCCGAATGCATAGTGCCAACTGTAAAGTTTGGTGTAGTAGGAATAATGGTCTGGGGCTGTTTTTCATGGTTCTACCTAGGCCCCTTAGTTCTAATGAAGGGAAATCTTAACGCTACAACATACAATTACATTCTAGACGATTCTGTGCTTCCAACTTTGTGGCAACAGTTTGGGGAAGGCCCATGACAATGCCCCCGTGCACAAAGCGAGATCCATACAGAAATGGTTTGTCGAGATCGGTATGGAAGATCTTGACTGGCCTGCACAGAGCCCTGACCTCAACCCCATCGAACACCTTTGGGATGAATTGGAATGCCGACTGCGAGCCAGGCCTAATTGCACAACATCAGTGCCAGACTTCACTAATGCTCTTGTGGCTGAATGGAAGCAAGTCCCCACAGCAATGTTTAATTTTTTATATTTATTTCACCAGGTAAGCCAGTTAAGAACAAGTTCTCATTTACAACTGCGACCTGGCCAATATAAAGCAAAGCAGTGCAATAAAAACAACAACACAGAGTTACATATGGGGTAAAACAAAACATAAAGTCAAAAATACAACACAAAATAGAAAATATATATACAGTGTGTGCAAATGTAGCAAGTTATGGAGGTAAGGCAATAAATAGGCCATAGTGCAAAATAATTACAATTAGTATTTACACTGGAATGATAGATGTGCAAGAGATGATGTGCAAATAGAGATACTGGGGTGCAAATGAGCAAAATAAATAACAATATGGGGATGAGGTAGTTGGGTGGGCTAATTTCAGATGGGCTGTGTACAGGTGCAGTGATCGGTAAGATGCTCTGACAACTGATGCTTAAAGTTAGTGAGGGAGTTAAGAGTCTCCAGCTTCAGAGATTTTTGCAGTTCGTTCCAGTCATTGGCAGCAGAGAACTGGAAGGAATGGCAGCCAAAGGAGGTGTTGGCTTTGGGGATGACCAGTGAGATATACCTGCTGGAGCGCATACTACGGGTGGGTGTTGCTATGGTGACCAATGAGCTAAGATAAGGCGGGGAATTGCCTAGCAGTGATTTATAGATGGCCTGGAGCCAGTGGGTTTGGCGACGAATATGTAGTGAGGACCAGCCAACAAGAGCATACAGGTCACAGTGGTGGGTAGTATATGGGGCTTTGGTGACAAAACGGATGGCACTGTGATAGACTACATCCAATTTGCTGAGTAGAGTGTTGGAGGCTATTTTGTAAATGACATCGCCGAAGTCAAGGATCGGTAGGATAGTCAGTTTTACGAGGACATGTTTGGCAGCATGAGTGAAGGAGGCTTTGTTGCAAAATAGGAAGCCGATTCTGGATTTAACTTTGGATTGGAGATGCTTAATATGAGTCTGGAAGGAGAGTTTACAGTCTAACCAGACACCTAGGTATATTCTAAGTCAGACCTGCCGAGAGTAGTGATTCTAGTCGGGCGGGCGGGTGCAAGCAGCGTTCGATTGAAGAGCATGCATTTAGTTTTACTAGTGTTTAAGAGCAGTTGGAGGCTACGGAAGGAGTGTTGTATGGCGTTGAAGCTCGTTTGGAGGTTTGTTAACACAGTGTCCAATGAAGGGCCAGATGTATACAAAATGGTGTCGTCTACGTAGAGGTGGATCCGAGCGTCACCAGCAGCAAGAGCGACATCATTGATATACACAGAGAATAGAGTCAGCCCGAGAATTGAACCCTGTGGCACCCCCATAGAGACTGCCAGAGGTCCAGACAACAGGCCCTCCGATTTGACACATTGAACTCTATCTGAGAAGTAGTTGGTGAACCAGGCGAGGCAGTCATTTGAGAAACCAAGGCTATTTAGTCTGCCAATAAGAATGCAGTGGTTGACAGAGTCGAAAGCCTTGGCCAGGTCGATGAAGACGGCTGCACAGTACTGTCTATTATCGATCGTGGTTAGCAATGTTCCAACATCTAGTGGAAAGCCTTCCCAGAAGAGTGGAGGCTGTTATAGCAGCAAAAGGGGGACCAACTCCATATTGATGTCCATGATTTTAGAATGAGATGTTCGACGAGAAGGTGTCCACATACTTTTGGTAATGTAGTGTACTTTGATACTTCCTCAAAAGGTTAAAAAGAGAATTTTGTTAGAGGAATTAACAACGTTTAAAGGAGAAGCTTTCCCACCGCTGTCAGTAACACAAGCAAACAACTACAAAAGTAACGCACTTCTCCAACGTAGTGGGATCACCAAACCAGGTTTTAGCTCATGAACTACTGGCTATTACTGCTACAAGAGCTAAATAAAGAAAAGCAAGAATTAGAGGTATGATTAGGGATGATGCATATATTGAAAGACACTGGAAAGTCCAGGGAAAGCTGTGTCCTTTGAAAAGTAAATAGTTATTTTCTCAGTATCATGTTGTATTTTACCATTACTTGACGGGGGAGTAAAGGGCCTGTAAAAAATTGCATTAAAATGACATAAGTTGTATTTCAGTTTTACATTACAAAAAAAAAATAAAAAATAAAAATCAAGAAGAGGACAAAGCAGGACATTTTGTCCCACTTAGTTTTTGTTCACAATGTTGAGACAGGATGTTGGAAGACCATTCCAAATGGCAGCATTCGAGAGTGTACGCCTCCCGTACCTGGTCCGCATTGAGCGGGCCAGAGAGTACCGGGGAGGTCAGCTCATGGCCTGCAAGGAAGCTCCGCTGGCAGGTACAAACAAGGTATATGTCAGAGTTAGGAGACAACATTCTTATTTTCTCTCGCTTTCACTCTCTTTTTCCTTGTAAATCCGTAACTCTTGGTATCCATTTTACTGTTGTAGTACTTTACCCGTTAACTTTACACATACAAAATAGCTTATAAGAGGCAGCAAAAGGCCGGGTGTTAAAATAATTCAAAGACTGTAGCCTCTATGTTACCACTACTGTAAAGCACTTCAGGTGCTGTGAAAAACTATAAAGAGAAAAACATTATGCAGGTATATCATTATTATACAGAGAGGTAGATACATTGTACTTGACTTAGGTGACTTAGAAACAAACCTGTCTATGTCTGTGGAACGACTGTCACATCAATATGGCTTGTAATTGTTTTGGTGACCACCTCGTATGGGGGACTTCCCATAACCACCCTGCTGGTCTGCTGATCAGACACAAACACACAGAAAAAAAACAATTACTTTGGTATACGATAGTTATAACTCTTAGATAAGATGGTTTGAAGATAGTAGTACATCTTCAAAATCAATGATTTTCCATGTACGTCGCTTTGGATAAAAGTGTCTGCTAAATGGCATATTATTATTATTATGATTAAATATTTCATTTGTTGTGTTGAATATTTAGTAATTTAGGAAATGGAAAACAATCAATAAAGGCAATACGTTTTTAACAATATTGTTGGTTTTAATGGTTTTAATGTCATTATTTTTATATTTATGTACAGCACGTAGGAATTTCAGTCAAATACAAAAATATAAGCCATACAATAACTGAATACAAAACAAAACAAATTATACACATATACACATTATTTACATGCATTTTTACAAGGAGCACACCTAAGTTGAAAAATGTAGGAGCACACAAAGAAATTTAGGAGCACAATGAAAAATATTTGAGGTAACAAGCCATTTTCTTTGAGGTAATGGTGCCAGCATGACGGTCATGAATCTGCGCTCAGTGTATTCTCCATGGCACAACTCACTGCAACAATTATAATCTGGGTGTGTTTTTTCTGGGCGCACGGGTGCTCCTAAATTTAAATTCCAGGTCGCACAGCAAAATGTTTAGGAGCATATGCGAGTAATATGGTCGTACTGTAGAGCCATAGTGAATGTACATTGTTTCGTTAAAGTGTGCTTTCATCAAAAAGATTACATACTGCTGTAGTCACCATATCCACCGTAATAGTTGTTGTAACCAAAGTTGTCATAGCCACCGTAGTATCCATAGCCTTGGTTGTTGTAGCCATAATTGCCGTAGTTATTGCTGTAGTTGTTTCCGTAACCTTGGTTCCAGTAGTTGGCATAACCCTGGTTCCAACTATTCTGATTGGGTCCTAAAATACACCAGATTGCCCATTTGGTATTATTTAATTGACCACAAAAACATGATTGAACAATTAACAACATCATACATATTATTACTCAAACGTAATACAGTACTACTTACTATATGAAAAATATTGGTACAGGAAATTACAATTTCTATCCAGCAAACTTACCCCCTCTGCCTCGAGGCCTGGAGGAGTATCCCCCTCTGCCTCCTCCTCCCCAGTGCTGCTGCTGGTACTGCTCCTTGGACATGGCCACCTTTATCTCACACTGAAGACAGGAACAAAGAATGGCCATAACCATGCTTTAAAGCTGCAACTCTGACTGACATAACATTGCAGTGCATTCTAATTAATGACACTAATGAAATAGATCACCAACTGGTCCTGGCAAGGAAATGCAATCTGAAAAACATATAATGAATGCAAAGGCAAAATGTTTTTGAACTACCAAACATATTCTGTGGGAAGTATTGGCAAGGGAGGCCATGATGTACCTTGCTTAATCCTATATTGTGGTACTTTTTCTCCATGATCATCTTCACTCGCTCCTCCTCTTTGAAGGTGATGAAGCAGAAGCCTCGTCTCTTGTTGGTTTTGGTTTCCATGGGGAGCTCAATGGACTCCACCTGTTCACAGAAAGAATTCAGAAATAGAATAATCAATTATTCAACAAGGTTTTCATGTTTTGTCGACTTGCACACACAGGCTGTGAGAAAACAAACAGCTCGTTCAGATAATTACTTTGGACTGATCTGATTCAATCATTCAGAATGGCACCCAGACGGCAAACCCTCTAAAGAACATCTGACAATGTAAAATTAAAGTCTACTGTAGCCTACCTCTCCAAAGGTACCAAAGTATTCTCTGATCTTCTCCTCGGGGGTGTCTGGAGAAAGACCTCCCACAAAGACCTTCCTGATGGGCTCCTTGTTCTTCATGGCCTTGGCCTTCTTAGGGTCGATCACCTTCCCATTCAGCTTGTGGTTCTTCTGTAAGACCACCTATCAGAGACAAGCCACAGAAAAAATATATAATAAAGAAACTGATTGGGCAGAAAAGATTCACATCCCATTGCTGCCATGCCATATTCACAACATATACTATCAGGAATACCTTATCAACGCTGTCAGCTGCTTTAAACAGGACAAAGCCAAACCCCCGGGACCGGCCTGTTGTGGGGTCAAGTTTCAGGGTGCAGTCTACCACCTCCCCAAACTTGGAGAAGTAATCCTTCAAATCCATCTTTGTTGTGTCCCAGCTCAGACCACCAACAAACATTTTCCTGCATTTAAAGACAGTGCAGATACAGACATTTTAAATTCTGCATACCAATTCCCAACACAAGGATTCTGTCTGTGTTCCAATTCCCTTTCTCATCTGCTTTCCTTTCACCCATCAGTGGGAAAGAAGGAAAGGAAGAAAGGAGTTGAAGCCATTACATTAGAGAGGGAACACAGCCAAAGTCTTGGTTTAGGGTCAATGTTATCATTAGAGCTATGATTATGATAATTAGCAAGAGCATCATTGGATAATGCTGTACAGCAGCTTTTACAAGATGTAAAGGATTTTTTAAATGTGATTTATTAGGATCCGCATTAGCCGACGCCAATGGTGACAGCTAGTCTTACTGGGGTCCAACACAATGAAAAAGACATTACAGACTAAATACTTTACAATTGACATACATTTAAAAACATTAACTTGTAGTGTGTGTGTGTGTGTGTATATCTATCAGTTACACATACATGTCAGTACATACACACAAGTAGATCACATGGGGGAGCATGAGGTGTTGCTTTATTTGTTTTTTTAAAGCAGGTTTGCTGCCATGCACTCATGGCTCTGTATAATACTGTACGTTTCCCTGAATTTGTTCTGGACCTGGGGACTGTGAAAAGACCCCTGGTGGCATGTCTGGTGGGGTAAGTGTTTGTGTAAGTGCTGTGTGTAAGTGCTGTGTGTAAATTTTCAACACAATGTTTCTATTCTCGTTTATTATGTGGTGATTGATGTATCATTTCTCCATCAATGTCTCACATACACAACTCTAAATCTAGCAAGCATCATCGCCTGAGAGCTGAAGGATGTGACAGCCACAACAGTTGCACAACAACAGTGACCTGATCTACCCTAAGGTACCATCCATCCATCCTCATTTCTGAGACATTTAGCTAGCTAGGTACTGGCATTCAACAAGTTATACCTCATAGAAGTTACCCAACGATGCGAGGAAATGTCAAAATTATGAAACAAAATAGCTACTTGTCCCTTCTTCAACGCTGAGCTAACTAGCCATATCGGGAACATGAGTTATCGAACGTTTGCTAGCGGTCACAGTCACCCCTCATCCTCTTCGTTTTTGCTGGCATCAATCTTTGAGCCCTCGGATTCTCCTGCCTGATCTCCCTCTGCAGCCGTCGGTATCTGCTCCTCGCTGCTAACCTCTCCGTACTCCTTCATTTTCACCACAGTTGGATCTTCGCCGGTTTCAAGGCCCTCGGACATGTTGTTGGTGTTGCACAAATAGCTAGTTGATCAGCTGCTATCGATGTTGCGTGGTAGCGATCGTGTTGCTGTCTCGTCGGTCTGAATTGCTTTCGAATTGGAAATCGTTCAATTTTTCCCCAGGTTAGTATCTTGCTAAAGACCAGACACAAAACAAAAATTAGGCACCACGGATGACCAATCCTTCTGGTTTCGCTGACTATTACCGACTACTACGTTCTCTAGTATATTTTGCGAGAGACCGGCAGTTGACAGCTTGCTAGCCAGCTAGCTACGTAAACATAAATGGCGTCAATAATAAAATGGTGCGACTAGCAAATGTTTCTAGACCTCTATGAAAATCAAATAGCACAAATTTATGCTATGCTTTGAAACGTATTGCACTGCAGTCTTATAACAGTTTGGTTTGGATGAGAGGAGTTGTCATCCACCTGACTCAGTTAGACAGGTTCCATACACTGATGTCTAAACTATGATATCCTAGAAAAATAAGGCAGGGTTTATTCTCATGATAAACAAACTCAGTACATTAATGTTGTGTGAATCAAATTATTATTTCAAGTGTAATGATTATTGCACCTAGACTGAAGTTGTACCTACAGGCCTAATGTTCAAGTTAAAGACTAGAGCAGCAGCTATGGTTTGGTGTTATGAAATGCAGAACAGAATATCAAGTACAAAGTCAAGCACATCTCAGTTTTGTACCCTCTTTAATACCTTTATCCAAAACACTGCAGAAAAATCCAAGTTTAAAACAAAAACAGGCCAAGTTAAATCAAGGTAAAAAGAACACATTAAATCACAAAGAAACCTAGACCTACAACCTCAGCAGAGTACAAGATGAAGGGAAGAGTGGAAACAGGAACCAAAAACCGGCAACCTCGCTATTTACAAGAAGCGCTGCATGTTTTCATGACAGCTTCATCTCAGGAATTGGAGTCTGGTGTTTAAAACATGAGCTGATCTGAGGACAGGATAGGATTCATCCCCCAAAGCTGCCACCTCGGTACAAGGTCATTCTCCAGTCCTCCAGCCAGCCCAGCCCATCTGCAAACAAGGACACAACACAGTAGGTGTTACCAACTCTGGAGCTCTGTAGGACACAGTGAACCTTGCACGTCCATGTTTCACTGTTTAACGTCTGCTTGTGCTGTCAACTTTAAACTATTACGTTTGTTTCTCTCCATTCCGTTTTAAAGATCATATGTAGAACTCGCAGCTTCACCAAGGTTCTGTAGCCTGTCCTATAACAGCTCACCAGCCAGCAAAAGCTTCAGCTCCGATGAATTGGTGGGTCAATTTCACCATTAAGGAGCAAGCCCAAACGTGACCATATCTAAACTATAAGGTAAAACATTTGGTGGAAGTTTCAAGTCAGCTACACAAATAGCTCAAATATTACATTTTGAGTTTTCAGCTTTTTATGGCATCATAAAGCTGGTTTACATATGATCTTTAACACCTAAGTTTAAAAAAAAGTGTGTTTATCAAGTGAAGTTCTCTAAGGGCTATAAAGAAAAAGCAAGCATTGAATTTAAGAAAGGGGTTCATTATAGAAAAACCACTGAAGCTCCAGAACTGAAACACAAGACCACTAAAATTAAGACAATACACAAATACAAGTCAAGGTACATTTTTACACTGTTTCATATTAATATCCTGTAAAAAATCAATTTGACAAATCGTTAAAGCAAACACTTTAAAAACTGAAAGAGATTAATTTGTCCTTTTCTTATGTTTCTTTTTGTTTATCGCTGGTTACAGGAAGTGTGAAGAGACCATACCGCAGGACAGCGTTTTCTTGTGCATGCCGTGCTCTCTGCCCGCTATGTGCGACGCCCAGAGATTGTCGTGGTCAGGCGACACACGGCCTGCAATGAAGTCCCCGCTGGCAGGTACAAACAAGGTACAACATCAGAGTTAGGAAAAGAAAAGGAAAACTTAGGATAGGTCCTTACTCTGTACCCTTAGCAGTACTTTACCTGTTAACAATGCTATCAAGTCTCTTTATGTTATTTCCTTATGAACACCTGTTAAAAAGCAAGGGAAAAAAGGACAATCTACAGAAAAACACTTACGTTTATTCTGGAGAGCTTAGTAAGAAAGGCAAACCTATACACAAGCATTTTTGCAATTAAAGATCTGTAGACATGACTCTTTAGATGTATCTGTCAGAATGGGGTGGTGCATGGTAATGGTAACCACTTGCTTTCTCTCTTGATAGGTTTTAGAGAAATTGTTTAGTGTCTATTGATCTTTAAGGTTTTTTTTAGGTCAAGCCTAAGGTGACGGTGGGAGTGCGGTCTTACCAGAAGTCTAAGCAGGTCTTGTTGGATCACATCAGCTCAGTAAGGCTGGTAGTTGTTCTGGTGGGTTGTGACCTCTCGAGAGGCCTTCCCATAGCTGCTCTGCTGGCCTATGGGAAGGTCAAGGGTTAGAGGTCAGGAAGATTGAGTGTCACAGGATAACTTCACAGAAACAAAACAGTTGCAGAAGGAAATCCTATCAAGGTGTTATCAATTGAGTTCAGTTGACATGGGAGTCCAGGTGCATGTGAGTTTAAATTCACTTTCCTTTATAGGGTAAATGGCAGCAAGAAATCACAAATAATCAGTAGGATGTAGTCTGCAGTGTTTGTGTACCTAATTGTTATTTTTGCTTGTTACTGTATCAGTACTGAGATGCACAATCATGTGTCAAGATTGGGCAGCTGGTAGCATAGCGGTTTGCGCATTAGGCCAGTAACCGAAAGGTCGCGCAGGCAAGGTAAAAAATCTGTTGATACCATACTACTATGGCTGACCCTGTACATTTCACTGCACATATTTGGTGTATGTGACAATAAAAAAATTGTGTGTTTTACTCTATATACCCAGGAATTTAACTACAAGTACTCTAAGAAGTGTGTGCCATACAAATGTAATCTTATAGAACTGTACATGGGCTCAATGATCATTAATGTTGCAAGTGTTCCCTATAACATAACGAAGTGCACTGCCTGGATATGGAGGACCCCTCACAAACATGTACCAGAGCAAAGAGACCCAAGGCAGGCAGCATTACAGACATCTGTTTTATTTTTCCAGAGCTATTGAGTACATACAAGGGAGACATTTTTCCACCTGTTGTCTTAGCTATAAGTACAAGAGTTGTTGCTGGGGGCTGAAAGGCACTGCTTGTTTCGATAGTTGGCATCAATAGTGTAGCTTACCATTGTAGTCGTCGTATCCCTGTCCATAACCATAACTATTATAGTTATAGCCAGAGTAGTCATAGCCTGTGTAGCCATTGTATCCTTGGTTGTATCCGTTGCCGTAGCTACCATAGTTCTGGCCGTAGTAGCCGTTGTAACCCTCGTTGTAGTTACTCTGACCTGCAGAGACAATGGAGAGGTTCAGTGTGACTGTAGTCTGTATTGTAGTTTCAAAGACATTTGTATGTCTTCATTTTCTTTTCAATATACTGCAATGCATGCCCTGTTCTGTCATCAGCACTGTCATTGTTGCATGTGTCAAATGCCACACAACAAATTCCCTTGTGGAAGAATAAAGTTGACTGATTTTAAATGTATTCTTCTGATGTGCATTCTTCAGTGCCATAGGCTAGATGTAGCTGCACATACCTCCTCGTCCCCGGCCCCTGTATCCTCCGCCTCCTCCGTAGCCCCCCCTCTCTCCTCTGTGTTGTTGCTGCTGTCTGTACACTTCTTTGGGCTGGGCCACTTTGATTTCACACTGCAGAGAAAACACACCATGAACCAAAACACTTCTGAAAAAGTACCTACAGTCGCATGTTATTTGACTGCAAACATAATTCTTCAAAATCACTAAACTAAGTTGGTTAAATAGCATAGAAAGAATAGCTTTGCCTATCAGCGCAAGATGTGTAACAGGGTTCACTGTGAATAAGCGGATTCAAGCTACCTTTCCGCCCCCAACTTGGTGGTATCTGCACTCCAACAGCTTCTGGACAGGGATCTCCTCACAGTAGGTCACGAAACAGAACCCGCGTCGCTCATTGGTTTTGGTGTCCATGGGAAGCTCGACACTGTCAATCTGGAAACAACACAAGAGTCTCTCTCAGTTAGCTGCTATGAAGACAGTAATCATAACGTTTGGCAAATCTCCCAGTCTTTGTACCATGTGAAGAGGATAGATTATCATACAATAATATCAGCTCTAGCTCCATTGCACCAACATTCACTCAGTGGACATACAGTTTCCTAAAAGCACGGGTCTACCATATCTAAAACCTTAAAATAAAACATGAATACATTGACAGTACAAGCATTCTCTCACTTCAACTTACATCTCCAAAAGCACCAAAGTATTCCCTGATCTCCTCCTCCGGGGTGTCTGGGCTGAGGCCTCCAACAAACACCTTCTTGGGCGGCTCCTTCCCCTTCATGGCTTTGGCCCTCTTTGGGTCGATCAGCTTCCCGTCCAGCTTGTGCTCCTTCAGCTCCAAAACCTGCACACAGGACAAAGTGTCAGTGAAACAGGGTGTGCGTGTGATTGTTCAAGAGAAGTGAGTGGATGCCATCTATGTATGTCTTCAAACCTATCTAGTTATTTCACATCTGCAGAATTAAGAAAACAATACAAGCAGAGGCATCATGCCCTGTCCTCAGTCTGTTCTAGCGCCTACCCTGTCTACACTCTCTGCGTCTTTGAAGAGGACAAAGCCGAAGCCCCGGGACCGGCCCGTCATCAGGTCTGTTTTGATGGTGCAGTCTAGAACCTCTCCAAACTTCGAAAGGTAATCCATGAGGTCCGTTTTGCTGGTGTCCCAACTGAGCCCTCCGATGAACATCTTGCTGTGAATGGAGAATTAAGGAGACTAATACAGTCGATATCAGACAGTCATATAACTACATTCTTGCTGTTACTGACACTGATATTTCAGTCTAAAATAATCTTGAAGTTACCTCCCTATCAAGCTGAGTCACTAACTGAATCGAACTTCGTCACACTTCTGATTCTAGTTTCGGTGGCCACTGCGTATGCTCAGGACAGGTTTTTCTGTCAGGATTCTAAACCAGCAGTAACTTAGTGTATGAGGAAAAAAGTGGCAATAACCAACAAGCCCATGAACACTACATCAATGACAATGATAATAGAAATTAAGGCTTTTCAAAAGTTATAAATATCGCGGTGACAACTTAAGTTAGTCCAGTTAACGTCAGCCAACTTGGCCTGACATGACAGCGACGCGCTGGTTAGATAATGTCAGATAGTTAGCTAGCCATGCACGATCACAACAGGGTCTAGTTAGCTAGCAAACTTTGGCTTGTTACCACTCCAATAACGTAAACTACTTGTCTCCAGCGGGCAAAATAACAGTAGCTAGTTACGCTTAAAAGTTAGTTAGCTACTGTTGTACTTAACTAGCTAACGTTACGTTAGTCGCTTACCCGTCATCCTGCTGGTTTTTACTTGCGTTTATCTTGGAGCCCTCTGGAAACTCGTCTGTGCTGAAGTCAACTTGGCCTTCGGTTTCCATTTTTGCACTTCAGGCGGTTGTTAGCTGTAAATATAAATTTGTATTTAGGCCTGATTGCTAGCTACTATTTGGGACGAATTCAGTCGCGATTGCTATGTAAAATGGCTGACATCAAGGGCGGCCAGGGTGGCGGAGAGTGACGCAGATGATGTGGTTTGTTTGCGGGGGCTCATGCCTCATTCACATGCTAGTCGGAACTCGGACATTTCTGACTTGGTGTTTCGTTGAACGTGGCACGTGTATAACTACAACCAGTTAGCAAGTCGGAAATACAGAGTGTCCGACTAGTACATGAACGCGGCATCAGTGTGTCATCACTAGTTACCACAGCCCCAACGTCATAATTATGGCTAAACCCCGCCCATTTCTACAATTTATCTTCTTAAAATCTTATTTTAAACCTAACCTTAACCACACTGCTAACATTAGGCCTAACCCTAACCTTAAATTAAGAACAAAAAGCTATTTTTGTTTTCATTAATTTTTACGATATAGTCAATGTTTGACTTTGTGGGTGTGGTAACTAGTCACTCATGTTTAAAAAATAAAATAATAATAATAATAATAATAATAATGAAAGAAAATAGTGTGGGAGATTAACAAATGAGGAGATTAACAAATTAACAACAGACTTTCAGCATGCTTATAGAGAAGGTCACTCAACATATACTCCACTGACACAAATGACTGATGATTGGTTGAAAGAAATGCATAGTAAGAAGATTGTGGGAGCTGTACTTTTAGATTTCAGTGCAGCCTTTGATATTATTGACCATTTGTTGAGAAAACGTATGTGTTATGGCTTTTCAACCTCTGCCATATCGTGGATTCAGAGCTATCTATCTAATAGAACTCAGAGGGTTTTCTTTAATGGAAGCTTCTCTAATGTCAAACATGTAAAGTGGGGTGTAACACAGGGCAGCTCTTTAGGCCCTCTACTCTTTTCTATTTTTACCAATGACCTGCCACTGGCATTAAACAAAGCATGTGTGTCCATGTATGCTGATGATTCAACCATATACACATCAGCAACCCCAGATAATGAAGTCACTGAAACCCTTAAGAAAGAGTTGCAGTCTGTTTTGGAATGGGTGGCCAGTAATAAACTGGTCCTGAACATCTCTAAAACTAAGAGCATTGTATTTGGTACAAATTATTCCCTAAGTTCTAGACCTCAGCTGAATCTGGTAATGAATGGTATGGCTGTTGAACAAGTTGAGGAGACTAAATTACTTGGTGTTACCTTAGATTGTAAACAGTCAACTCATGGTCAAAACATATAGATTCAATGGTTGTAAAGATGGGGAGAGGTCTGTCCGTAATAAAGAGATGCTCTGCTTTTTTGATACCACACCCCACAAAGCAAGTCCTGCAGGCTCTAGTTCTATCTGATCTTGATTATTGTCCAGTCATATGGTGAAGTGCTGCAAAGAAAGATCTAGTTAAGCTGCAGCTGGCACGGAGGGCACATCTTGCTCTTCATTGTAATCAGAGGGCTAATATTAATACTATGCATGCCAGTCTCTCTTGGCTAAGGGTTGAGGAAGGACTGACTGCGTCACTTCTTGTTTTTATTAGAAACATTAATGTGTTGGAAATTCCTAATTGTTTGCATATTAGACTTACACACACACTTACCCCACCAGACATGCCACCAGGGGTCTTTTCACAGTCCCCAGGTCCAGAACAAATTCAAGGAAACATACAGTATTATACAGAGTCATGAGTGCAGGGAACTCCCTTCTATCTTCTATAGCACAAGTGAACAGCAAACCTGGTTTCAAAAAACAAATAAAGCAACACCTCACGGCACAACGGCTCTCCCCTATGTGACCTACTTGTTGTGTGTATGTACTGACATGTTTGTGTAACTGATAGATGCACACACACACTACATGTTAATGTTTTTAAATGTATGTAAATTGTAAAGTATTTTGTCTGTAATGTATTTTTCGTTATATGTCAGACCCCAGTAAGACTAGTTGTCTCCATTGGCGTCGGCTAATGGGGATCCTAATAAATCCCCAAAAAACTGCTTATCCAATAGAAATCCCCACTCACACTTGTAGGCAACGTCATGGCGACGTTTGCTTGCTAAACTCATGCGTAGAAACACGTCATCGGGTCTAACGGTCGTCTAGCGCCAAATTGCGCATGTGAAAGCTGTCAAATCAAAGGTACTCCTTCGTTATAAAGTTGTTTTTGACGAAAATGAAAACGTGTCAGTTTGTCACTTTCACGAGGTTGGAGTAATAACATGTGCAACTACTTAAGACATTAGCTCGAATCTAGGTTGTGCCTTTAGATTTCGAAAAAATGTACAACTAAGGACGTTTCACTTCCCTCATTGACTTCTCAAACCCCAAACTCCAGCCTGGTCTGTTTTACAAGCGTTCCCGGAAGTCTCGCGAGGTTGTGCCTATGGGTTTAGAAACTGTGATACCAAAGATGCTGAAGCACTGTAGCTAAATTTTTTGTGATCTCTTCAAAAAATTCTGGCCTCATAATTAATTACGCCAGAGCAGATAATCTCTTGATATGGTTAATTATGCACTGCTTCACACATTTTGGCTTGGCTGGTTTGGAAAAGAACGCATTCTACAATATGTGGACTGGGGATGGGACATTCGACTGCGCAATGCCCCATGTCTGTCCCACACCCACAAAAAAATTCGTTAAATCACCTGTGTGAAAATAGCGGTTTGCCTTCCAAATAAAAGTCCCCAGTTGAAAGAGATTCAAACATACAAATAGTGGAATGATGCCATATTTGGACTAGATAATGCTAAACAAGGTCGGAATGGACTAGATAATGGTAAACAAAAGACAATAATGAGTTAATTTGAGACAAAACAAAGTACAAATAAGTTGAATTCGCATTGTGGATGTATTAGACTTTAGAATTGCATTGGGGGCATATTTATATGCACTGTACAGCATAACGCCCTAACCTATGGATTCTGCATCCATGAAATGGGGTATCAGCCTACTCAGTGACACTCACAGAACACATCTGTGTAGAGTTTACACAAATATTAGCATCTTAGCTCTTATTGCAGGACTTTGACTGTGGTAAATCACCTTTCAAGTCAGTCTATTGTGTGTATTGGACCTTCATGTTGCACTGCGCAGCCTGACCTATGGATGTTGCACCCAGGAAATGGGGTATCAGCTTACTCAGTGACACTCACAGAACACAACTGTGTAGAGTTTACACAAATATTAGCCTCTTAGCTCTTATTGCAGGACTGTGGGAAATCACCTTTCCAGACAGTCTATAATGTGTGTCATTGAGTAGGCTGATACCCCATTTCATGGGTACACAATCCATAGGTTAGGCTGTATAGTGCATATATGCCCCCAATGCAGTTCTAAAGTCTAACACATCCACAGTGCGATTTCAACTGATTTGTTTTGTGTCAAATTAACTAATTAGTGTATTTTGTTGAATTGATACAACAACGTTCCACCTTTTTTAGCATTATCTAGTGCAAATATGACATGATTTCACTATTTGTATTGTAGTGTCTGTTGTCCGTGGCTATTGCTGTCAACAAGGAGTCCGCTTAGGCTGCACCGTGTTTTAGAGGCTTTTATTAATATCACACGGTTACAGCATAAGTGACAGATGTCATGACATCCGGAGAGCGACGCCTCAGAATGGCCGCTCTGCCCTCTCCTTCGTTTTTCCCCCAGTATATATAATCTCCCCAAGATGTGGGTGGCTCCCTCTACTGTCCAATCCCCTGTCTACAACACACTTCCTGTCTGTTGTATGTGGCGTTACACTAAAACATTCCCTCTTCATACTAAAATCAACATTCTTTCAGTTCCACTTAAAAACATTTAACAAAGGCATAATCCCAATACACGACATTTCCCCCCTTCGAGACTAAACAGTCTCGAAAACAAACAGAATAGGATTATGACAAGTAACAATTTATCTTATTGAGTATCTTTAACATTAAACCAAAAACATTCTTCTCTAGAGTGTAAATACCTTTCTATGAAATATTAATAACTGTTTATGAAGTGTGAATACATTACTATGAAATATGAACAAATCTTTATGGAGTGTAAGAGCGAAAAACTGTCCGGCAACCTTCGTTCCAAATCCATCCATCAATCAAGACAGTAAAATTCTCTCACGGTCCCTCTGCCCCAGGCAACCACCATGGTACTCCAAATAAACTCATAAACCATGTAAATGCATTTGAAACTATGATGCAATTAAATACACATGTAAGCCCCTGCAAACAAAATCCTATCCAAAAAATATCCACTCTAAGGCTGGTCAACCCATTGGACCCTACAGTGGACCTCTCCCTGCCTAGACTCCCTGTCCCTAAACATCACCGAAATAAACAAAAACATCTAAGATCCTTACATGTATTCAATAACATCAAATATCCTTCTACAAAAATTAATCCCTAAGGCTATGACACAAATTATGTATTACACGTCTATATTTCATTGCAGACACTGGAATGTAGTCCACTACACTTCATCTCCCCGTAGTCTCCTCTTCCAATGGACTGTTGATGATGGAATCGGAATCTTTCCACCCCTCCTTGTTTTATCTCCTCCAGTCATTGTCCTTTCATATTGTCCTTGTTTGAGTATTTCAATCTCCACATGTCCCCCAAATGCTTCTGGAAGAAAAGAAAAAACCAAACAGTATCTTTTGCAAAACAACACTTTCAAATTAAACATCAATATCAACTAAGAATATAAAAATGATATATAAATGATGTATGAATCACATTAATGATAGGATAATTATTCATTCATACACTTCCCCCCTTTGATTCATAAAATCATACCAAAATCACCCTAATATTGAAAAAAAAAATTGAAAAATGATCAAATAATCAAAAAGGATATTTATCCATCCAGTTCTACTTGTCCATCTTCATCCAGATCAGGAACAGTCAACACCGGCATCTGAGTGTTGTCTCCAGGCATCACTCTCCAACCTATCTCAATCTCATAGCTTTCTTAAAGGTCAGTAACAAATTACAAACATCACACACAGTGTTATCAAAGCTGAAACTAAAATCTGAACCATCACTGCCCCTACTGGGCCTAATTGATCTTGCAACCAAGACTTCGCTGACCATCCAGCTCCCTCAGATCTCCCAAATGCATCCCTTATATTCTTCAATGCATATATAACCCTAGTGATAATATCTGAACTATCTGGACTCAAAGTATACCTAATATTATCAAT